ACTGTAATCAGGGGAAAGGAAAGTGGTAAGCATTTGGGTCTAGACTCTAGGGCACTGATAGTTCTTGACACAAGATTACATAAAGTCAGTGATCTAAAACAAAACTCAATGATCAATGTGTTCTAGGTGTGTGGTATATATTTGCTCTATTTCTCGTTTCATCACCATACACATATACCATACACATATTCTTTGCTTTTTATACATGGTTAGGAAGGCTCAAACTGGAAGGAAAGGGTTGCGTGGAATTTGAATGGGCAGATTTGATGAAGAGGGAGTGGAGAATGGCATGAGCACTGAATCTGGCAAAAACCAAAATAAGACTAAATATTCCAGTTGAGTGGGAAAAGTGGGAGATGCCACTGGGAAAAAAGACAATTACTGTCTACACAGGTTCAAAAAGAAACCAAATCTACTTTTTGTTGTCTGAAGCTCAGTCATGTTGGAACCTCGAGAACTCTGTGGTTCTTTAGCTGTGTCTCACCTACATATTTCAGGGATGCACTTTCCTTAACTAGTGCAAAGATGTAGACCACTCCAGGAAGTGAATTTAGACCCACTTCTTTTATTTCATTTGTTTTCGTCCAAGGTCTAGTGTTTTTTTAAATGCTGGAATAGCTGAGCTTCTGCTTATTTTAAACATGATGCAAAGAAAGTGTACTCTCAAGTATCATCTTGCGTGCTGGTGCTCCAAAGACTGAAATAGAAGGAGAATGTTTGAGGCATTGCCATAGCCGCCAGTTATTTTCCAGTTCTGTCTCTGCTAACATGTGGTCATTAATATGCTGTGATAAAACATATGGCTCTATAGTTTAGCATGGTTTCTTTTTGTAAAAGAGGCCAGGGTGTTGGAGCATACCTCAAATCCCACCCTGCATTCCTGTCTGATCTCCTCCCACTGCACATACACACTCTGTTCCAGAAATCATACTAAACGCTTCCCTTTTCTCTCCAAACATGCCTCAGTGCCTTTGTACTTGCTACTCTCTCTTCCTGGACTATCCTTGTCCTCTTCTAAGACTGAGGATCTGCATCTCATTCTTCAACATTTATTTAAAATTGGGCTTCTTAGGTAGAACCTCTCCCAGCTCTCCTGGTTGACTTTATGAATTCCTTTTTTTGGAATTGCCCAATTCTACGTCCTCCAGTATTTATTTCAGCTTTTCTAGCTCAGTAAAATGCTACCAAAACATAGCTCAGCTTATTGTCATAGTTCCTCAATGAAAATACTTATGTAATGTCATCTTTCCAAAACTCTATGAAACGTATAGTTAATTTTTAAACCAAGAATAGCTTATTGCTAAAAGCAAATCTACTTACCACGCTTTCCAACACCCCGAAGTTGGGTCTGTGTATTTTTCACATTGCTCATCTCAAGATTCTACAGGATTACCTTTGTCCTTTGACAGTGGCGTTTGAAGACTTGAGGACTTCTTGTTGTTTTATATGCTCCATGCTGGCAATTTAGGCAGTTCACCTTCAGAATTGATAGAATAATTTTGAGATGTGTTCAAGAATACCAGTTGTATGTTCATTTCCTATTTGATTAAACTTCTGATTTTTCCCTTAACTAGATTATAAGTCACTGAAAAATTAAACAACTTTAGAAATTGTCTAAAAGCTTTAAATGGGCAAATGTTTAGAATTTGTCTCATAGTCTATCAGGATCTATGTATTTCCACTAAACTCTTTTAACTTTTAAAATTTTACACTCTTTCTCCAAATTTGGCATTAATCACATGGCCTGTCATGTTACAGCTGCTGATTGCATATAGAACCTTCATTTTAAGGTTGGATCATATTTTATTCTTTTTGAAGACAATAAAAGCAATAGCAGTCTAAATTTATAGTAATGTGCAGTAGTTTTATTCTCAGACTCTCTCTCTGACATTTTATTCTTTTAATTTTCTTCCTGGGAGGAAACTTGTGGAACCTTTAATGTTTTATAAGACTCAAGGGGAGAATACAGGGATTAGGGAGGAAAGTCAATATGAAAATTGTAAAATATTCGGGCATGGGCTTCAAGTTATCTTATTCTTAATTTTGAAACTTTACCCCAAAATTTGCTCTTTCTTTTCTCTTAAAAATGCAACAGCAAGAGCTGAGAGGAGTAGAATGGTTAATTCTTTAAGAGCAGAATAGATTAAAATGAAACCTTTATTTTAATGAGGAAACAAAGGGCCACAGAGGTTAAGGCCTTGTCTGAGATCCTACAACTAAACTACTTCAAAAACCTGAAAATGGCTGGGCTGTGTGGCTCAGCCTGTAATCCCAGCACTTTGGGAGGCCGAAGCAAGTGGATTGCCTGGGCCCGAGGGTTCGAGACCTCGGGCAACTTGGTGAGACCTCGTCTCTACAATAAATCAAAAATTAGCTGAGTGCGATAGCGCACGCCTGTAGTTCCGGCTACTTGGAAGGCTGAGGTGGAAGGATCACCAGAGGCCAGCAGGTGGAGACTGCAGTGGCCGGGAGCATCCCCTGCACTGCAGTCTGGGAGAAGGAGTGAGACTCCAACTCAAAAAAAGAAAAAACCTGAATGCCTTTGGAGCAAGTGAACTGGTCTGACTGAAACGAGAGAATCAGGTTTTATTTAGTCTTGGGAGCATAGGAACATTGGTATGTGCAATCGCCTTGGGGGTAAAGATGTACGTATTGCTTACATCTGCATGTCCTTTCAAACATTCCCATACATATGGGTATAAATCATAAGTAACAATGATTGCAAAAGATATATGTAAAATGGACTCCATGTTTCAGTGACTTACTTTTAAATCCCACATCCCACTGACGTTCTACTTTTAGCTGCATTGCCCCTGGCTCAACATGTACTTATAGAATTGTCTCAAAGACTAGAAATGTAAAGACAATAGCCAAGCAAATTTTTATCAGTATTTCCACACTTTTGTAGCATATTCTCTATAACAGAAAAAATCTTGAAGTGGCATATTTATTCACCAATTGGTGTCTAAAATATAAATTATGACAAGCTGTCCAACATATATCCATAAGTGGAAAAAACACCAGAGATAGAATAATATGTATCTCATGCTTGTGGGCTCTCTGGTCTGGTCACATCTGTGACTCCAACTCCCTTTCTAGTCCCAGCTTCCAATGGTTACTCCTGTCAAAGTTCCGAAGTCCTTGGTGGGCCAGGCTCCTGGACTCCAGGAATATTATCACCTCCTTTTGTCCTTCCAGACTAGGATATTAGCAACTTTCTGTTGTTACTAATTTTAGATAACACCTTCCTCTGTTTGCCACTTCAGCTATTCTATGATCTTCAAAACTAGTTCCTACATTAATGTATTTAATTATAAGTCAGAACTCTGTGTTGCTAACGGGGCCCTGGTTGATGAAGTCATTATTGAAAATGAGATCTATCCATCTCTTAGTTTTTCTAAAACTATTTGTATATAGGACAGAAGCTAATTTTATATGTGTTTTATTATTTATACCATTATATATTTTCTTATTTTCCTTTTGAAGCTACCTCTAAAGGCTTAACCTGATGATCTTGGCTAGAAATTAAAACAAAGAACCCTCAAGGCCTCAGTCTCCTAATTTCACGATTTCAGGTTTGATTTCCTGTTAGACTCAAGAGTTGTTTCGGAATGTTTTAGTTCTTGGTGTATTGGTCTTAATTGCTATTGAAATTTCTAGTATCATGGCATTATGGTTAGCAAACATCTTCTATGCATACTCCTCAAAGAAAATCTCAAAAAATGTAAAATGGCATAAACATGGGAAATGTATTGAGATTTTCTTTAAGGGCTATTACATTGCCAATTTTAATACATTTTCATATATTTTAAAAAATTGCTTCATTTTATTTTATATATTTGTATTCAATTTTGTATATATACATTTACATATTTGATCTTAAATATTTTATTTGTCATATATATAACATTCACATTAATATTTATCTTAATTTTTTCTGTATTGGGGACTATGGAATTTATACCATTTGTCAAGGACTGTATACATTTTCTATTACTCTTCATTTATGTCTATTTCTTTCAGTTTAATATATATGTATATATATAGGTGATATATTATTTGGTGCATAGATATTTGGTATAGTTAGAGCTTCATTATAGGGGATATACTTCATCATTATCAAATGCCTTTCTTTGACTAATTTAATACTTTTTGCCTTGAATTTGAACCTTATCAACATGATCTGGAATGTTTTTCTCTAGAATAACTTTCAATTTTTTCTAATTTTTTTTTTCTCTTCATGAATGTGCATGTTGGATCTTATTTGTCCTTCATATATATCTTTCTTTATTTGTAATTATTCTTTTAACGATTTCTAATTCTTGATTCTTGTCTTGTTCATTTTACTTGATGTTCTCAAATCTGAATTCCTTAATTAAGTCTGTATTCTTGGTGGTATCCATTAAAAAATTTCTGCTTCTAAAGTGGATTTTATTTTTGAATGAGTCATATTTATTTCTTCTATTTCCTTGCTGAGTTCTGCCAGCTCACTTTTAATATCCTTCTATTGGCTTGTCTTTTCTTCTTTGAGCCATTCTCTCTTGTTCTAAATACTTTTTCAAAAAGGCTTTATTTTTTTTAAAATTTTTTCAATATCGCTGGAAAGTATTTGAGGAAATCATATATTTCTTCGGTAATTGTTACATGAGGTTTTTGTGTGTCACTTTTATAATACATTTTTCATTTTTGTCTTGTAGTATCTTTACATGTTGGTTTTATGCCAGCTTCTTTCTGTTATTTTTTTCATCTTTAAATGGGGTCATTCTTTCAGGGCTAGCTATTTGCTGAACAATAGTCTGAGAAAGAACTGGGAAAATAAGTTGGGGGCAGTGTTAGTTTTATACTGTTTCAATTCTCTTTCTAACATTTCTGCCAGGGGACAGACTTTTGCTCATTTCTCTCACAGATGTGCCTTTTCTGTTCGCTTATCTTGTAATGGAGCAATACGTTGGAATTCATGTTTACTAATTTTACTTTACAGATTTTCAACAGCAACTGTAAAACAGCAACTGATTGTTACGCATCATCTCTCCCTGCCATATTGCCAGCCTACTAGTTTGAAAGATGGTGTGTCTGCCTCATTCCTCACTTGGCCTCACATTGCCTGTCACTCTACAACTTGCTGTTTCAAATAAGAAATCACTGGTCGGGCGCCTGAGGGCTGTGTCTCTTTCCTTTGTAGAATTCCATGCTCTGCCTGAGGTCTGTTAAGGTATGCATCTATTATGCTCAATTGAATCCAAATCTCACTGTATTCCTCATAGTTTTTGGTTTGGTATTGTGGTAGCTAATAACATTTAAAATGGAATTTCCTTGTTTTTGTTGCTTATTGTTCTTTTCAGCCAGTTTCAGAGAAGGGAATAGAGGTAGAAGCACCTTTGCAATCTCTAGCTGAAAGTTCTGAAGGCCAGTTGTTGTCAAACTTGTAACACAGGCCAGGCACAATCGATTGCTCAGACCTGTAATCCCAGCACTTTGGGAAGCCAGGGTTGGAGGATGGCTTGAGCCCAGGGCAACATAGCAAGACCTCGTCTCTACAAAAAAAAAAAAAAAAAAAA